CTTCACAGCAATGGAGGAGATCAGGGAGGGGAGGAGCAACCAATAAGAACAAAATAGGGAAAGCAGAAGGACAGCCACAGCTGCAGCTGTTCTTGAGTCAGTTGTAAAAGCAGTGAAGAAGGCAATGAAAGATCAAGATGAAAGCAAGGATTGATACAGAGTTATTGCTAATAAAAGAGGAAACAACAAGGCAACAATATCTATTACCAGGAGAGAGGGCCACAAGTGCAGGATTACTGTGATTTTGATCCAGCAAAGCTTGACACATACCCCTGTGCTGTTTGAAATTGACAATTTGGGAAAATTGAGGAGTACACTGAGAAGAAGAGGAAGAAGCATGAGCTTGTTGCTGTTGCCACCTTTGATGCTGAGAACAGCATTCAAAGTGGCTGGCCAAAGAATAATGATCAAATGAATGCAAGGATGACTTGCTATTGTTATCAGGTCCCTTACAATTTGGATATGGCTGTGGGAACTGTCCAGAATGTAGCAAGCCTGACATTGACTGTTTTGAGCATCACAAAGGTGGTGCCACAATGGGAGATGTACCAGTGGTTTGCCACTGTCCTCCTCTTTGCAACTGTTAATGCAAGATTTATTTCTATGCAAGTCAAAGGTGGAAGTGCAAAATGAATCAAAAAAGGAAGGAGAATGGTCCATTACTACAGGTTGACTGGTGTGTAGACAATCCCTCGGAGCAGTCCAATATACCATAATTTCTCACCATGTCCATCTTTCAAGGGGCTTTGGATGCAAAAGCAAGGAAATGCTGTCATCCACTAGATACTGATGAGTTCAATCAAGATTCAATTCCATTTGCTTATGATTATACAAAGAAGAAGAACCACTTCCAGTCTAATTTGGGATTAATGAATGCTGTACAAAAGCTGGTACAAATGGGGCTTACAACTAAGACCAATGGTCTACTATCTATTGACCAGATCAGGGGTGGAGATGCCCCAAATAGGAGGAGGATTTGAGTGTCAGCTCAGCAGCAAGGACATGTTCAAAAAAAAAAAATCTTAATATTATTTTTTACCTCGTGAACTAGAAGAGGCACTATATGGCCAGAACCA